GAGCTGCCCAGCTGACTACTGCTTTCTCCTTTTCTTGGCTTTTCTCTTCAGGCACGATTACGTGGGAATCAGTGGGGTTTAGTGAGAATGGTACTGACAAGAGTTAGAAGACCAGTGTTCAAATACCATAGATATAGTGGATAGAGTGCTCAAGGATCTGGGATCAAATCTAGTCTCAACCTGTGTGATCCTGGGTAAGTCACTTAATCTCTATCAGCCTCAATTACAATTTGTATCATGGGGATAATAATAGCATTTACCTTCCAGGGTTGTCGTGAGAGTAAAGTTAGATAATATTTGTAAAGCACTTTACCAGTCTTATAATGTTGTATAAATGTTAGCTAGCTGGTATAAGTTATTGTTACTACCTGTATAACCTTGGCAAGTCACATAATCTCCTAGGCCTGCCTTAGAGTCCTAGTCTGTGAAATGAAGAGATTGAACTAGCTGGTCTCTGAAGTCTTTTCTAGTTTTACATTTGTTATTCTATGAAATGCACAAACACTCACATAAAAGTGGCATGATGTAGTTAGAAAAGCCCTGGAAGCAGAATTAGGAGAATCCTAGATTCCAGAGTTTTTGCAGCCACTAATTACTTGGCTATGGGCAAGCCATATAACCTCTTTGGACTGTAATTCCCTTACCTATAAGCTGTGTATAAAAATGACCTTAGTCTCTATTTTACAGGGTTGTTTTAAGGTTGGAATGAGGAAATGTATGTAAAGTACTTTGTAAATCTTAAAAGTACTTAGTGAATGTGAGTTACAACTCTGATTTTATCATTTGCTCTGGATATAATTCACTGCCCTTAATTGAGACTTCCTTTCCTATTTAAATAGCCCCCCTAAAGAATCCCTCTGACTTGTATGACCCCTCCCCCCCCCAAAAAACAAACCACTATCCCAAGTTTAAGGCACTCTATCATTAAGCATTTACTCAAAACTGTAGATTACAAGCCTCAACCAGTGTGCTTATTTTAGTCATCCAGCCCAGGGACACATTAGTTTAAGCAAAAGATACTTAATCAAGATACATAACAAATAAAGTGATGAGAAGATACTCTCCACTCTCACCCTCGACACACACTGAATACACTCTCCCACAAGTTGTCATATTACCATGGGAGAAAGGCACACATGTAGGGAACATTCGTGGCCCAGGCAAGCTTATACCTCCTATGATACAGTCACTGTTAATGCCCTCTGGTCATGTCATCATTCTGCTGCCCACTGAGCATTGTGACTCACCTCTCTGCTGTGTCATTGTTATGAGACTAGTCATCTCTGCTGGTCTCATGGTCATTGAGGTTTTCTCTGGCCTTCATCTTTTCAGGTCTATCTGTTGGTCCTCCCAGGTCTTTCCTGATAAAATGCAGTACTGGAAAGTCCATCCTTGACAACAGCAAGCTCCCATACCCAAGGACCACCACATCTGGATAAAGATAGTGGATCAAAAAGAATGCTGTAAGGCAAGATTAAATCTATACCGACTATGCCTTTGTGGCAGCTAGGTAATACAGTGGATTGAATACTGGGTTTGAAGTCAGAAAGACCTAGGTTTGAATCATACTTTAGATACCTACTAACTATATCACTTTGGGCAAGTCATTTAACCTCTCTTGCCCTTACTTTTCTCATTTGTAAAATGAGGATAAAAATAGCACCTACTTTTCAAGGTTGTTGTGAGCACTAAATGTGATAGCATATATACATTGCTTTGCAAACCTTAAAACACTATAAATGCTAGCCTCCCCTACCACCACCACCACTACCACCACCATCATCATTGTAATCATTGTAATGAGACTAGTGATGAATTGAAATTTTGTCCCAGACAATAAACTAATTTGGAATTTAAAATTCCTTATGAGTTGCATTAAACTATGTATGTATGTATGTATAAGTTTATGTATATGTATATATGTGTACACACAGACACACAGACAGACACACACAGACAGACACACACACACAGACACACAGAAACAGACATAGCCACAGCCAAACACACACACACACACACACACACACACACACACACACGCACACACACACTGGCTACTCCAAAGCATGCCCCTTCTGCTATCTCCTTCCACTCTTTCTCTGCCTTCATCTCCTTTCCTCTCTAAAATCCAGATCATTCCAATTTGTTTTTCTTCCTCCACTTAGACCTCAAAATGACGTTTGCCTATGTTTTAGGTTGAGCCAGACTCAGGTCAAATCCCTGCTAATTTATGTTTGATATTGGATCAAAATGAGACAGTCTAGGATCATTCAACAATTAACAAAAGGGGATTTATTTAGCCATAGCAAGGAAGGATATTCAACAAGGATAGGTACAAATTGATTCTGCTGAGTGAAGTTTCCCTGCTCAAGTTGTCCACCATGGAGCCAAGCAACCTGGAGCTCCTCATGAGTGTTTTGTATGCAGGTAACTAGGAAGTGATATTTGATGGCCTGAGTCTTTAGTCTATTAAACCAATTTGGTCTCAAGGCTTATTCCCATACCTTTTAAGTAAAAAATATCCTAATTTTCATGGAGGGCACAAGTGGGGGTGGGGTTAGTATATTGCTTCCCACCACAGCCTATGTAACCCAAGTGCCTCAGGAATACAGAGAAATGCATTATGGGTATTGAAATTTCATGGGTCAGAATAGAACCATTGAGGTTTTGGTGGCAAGATCAAGCACCACGACCCCAGGTAGGAGGAAGAAGATCTGGGATAACTAGGCACAAGAGCTCATACTGAGTTTCAATTTGCTTTGGTACTGCCACACAAGGGGAGTGGGGAGGGGCGGGGAGAGGGAGAGAGAGAAGGGGAGGGGCGGAAGCAGGAGAGAAGGGGAGAAGGGGAAAAGAGGAGAAGGGGAGCAGAGAGGAGAGGAGAAAGGAGGAGAAAGTAAAGGGGAGGGGAGGGAAGGAAAAGAGGAGGGGGATACCAATAGGTATATTGCAATGCAAGATCAGAGACTAGCAAAGAGCAGACCTGCATGACTTGGCAGCAGGTAGGGGCCGAACTTAAAATAGGCAAAACTTCTTCAAGCTTCAGATAGGTTTTTAGCAGCTCACTTTCCAAGTAAAGGTGTAATTAATCATCAAACTATTTTGTAAACAAACCATATTTTAAAAAAGGAAATTTCAATGAATATCAATTAATTATACTTATTACTTAAGATTTTTATTCATCATGAAATCACATTAATGTTAAAAAAAATCACTTTAAGTGGCACAAGTTTTAATAAACTTTTAAAGTTTTCTTACTGTTTACATTTAATAACAACCAACAACACAGTGAAAAGATATGACTCTTACTCCTCTCAGATTAGAGACAGACTGACAGTGGTTGGTTGCTACAGGTTATGTGACAAACAGGAGGAGTGCGCAATGGCAACCCACCCACCAAGTTACATGATGGGCACGGCAGTGACTAGTGGAAAGTGGGTTAAGTGGGGAATGGACAAAATACTTGTTACATCTTTACTTTCTTCCACATCCTCTACATTTTTCACGGGCCACCCAAGATCCTTTGATGAGCTACAAGCATCCCTTGGACCCTATGTTGTGCAGGTCTGAGTTAAGAGTCTAAATGTTGCAGGTATTGGCTACAGTAGCAAGACCTCCACTCTCTAGAATGAATTACTCTGGTGCAGTTGATTGGAACTGACCAAAGTTTGGCTGTTGTTGCTTCTTGTGATCTACAAGAGGACAGATAGTAAGAGTTTAACTTCCTTCCCTGGTACCTGTCAAGAGCAAGCCACATGATTTTCTCTAATTCTTTAAGCTGTTTTTAATTCCTGAATTTGGTCGCCTCTAAACTATGTCTGGTCAAAAATGAGTTGTGACTCACATTTATTAATTGCATGCAGAGAGAATGCAATGGAAGACACCACTAACTAATTTGGTAGATTCATAACTCAATATATGAGAGACTTAAACTTCTCTCCTTAAAACTTGGTCTTTCCTTCCCTAAGTGGGGGAGGGGTGGGGCAGAGCTGATTGAGATGAGAATTTTATTCTTTGGAGCTTTATAAAAAATTCTCATAAGTTCCTCAATAGCAGAGAGGTAAATCAACCGTATGACTCAGGACTGTATACCCCAAGGTCAACAGAGTCAAAGGTGAAGAAATGTATGTGGCTTTGAGCAGAGCTATCAAACACATGAACAGGGCCACCAGATTAAAATGTAATTGGGAAATATTTAGCAAAAGAAAAAAAATGCAATAAAACACAGATAAAATCACATTTTAAAACTCTGTCAATATGTGACTCTCAGGGACCTTTCTGTATGAATTGGTGGTCCTATTTCTGTTTGAGTTTGATGCTACTGACTTAGTACCTACACCCCTAAAGTGAACAATGAAATAGAAGCAAAGACCAGAGGAAAGTCATATCCTCAGGCCACCCAGTGGTAGAAGGAAAGTATGGTCTTGGAAGATTGGCCACACCCTGCAACAAAATCCCAAATTCAAAAGGGATGCTTCCTCACCTTCACGGCCAAATCCTTCCTTATTGTATTATACGGTGGTTAAACTTGTTTGAAACTTAGGGCAATAGGCTTATTCCCTCCCTTTATTGTTAGAAGAAAAATTAAGGAGGCATAGTCAAGGTGGCAGAGTACCAAGAAGAACAGCCTAGCTGCCTCACCAAATCTCCTCCACAAAGATCTAGAAAAAAAAATACCAGACTGAATTTTGATCCCAAGTCCAAGAAGAAGTCATAGTGATTCATTGTTCCAGCCCAGGGCAGCTTAGGGAGACTAGAAAGAGAGGACTGAAGAGAGGGTTTGGCCAGGAGTGCAGTGTGTGTGTGTGTGTGTGTGTGTGTGTGTGTGTGTGTGTGTGTGTGTGTGTGTGTGTGTGTCTAGCATTATAGAGCCCAAGGACTGAAAGAAAATGAAACAGAGCACTAGGGCAGGAAGCACTGGGGTAGGAAGAGATCCCCAGCAGATCCTTGAGATAGTAGTGCAGGGTGTAGGGATGGGTGTCATCTGGCAGCTGTTTTCCACAACCCAGTTCCTTGTTCAACTGAGATGGGGAGCTGCACATAAGGGTGGTAGAGAAAAGCAGTTGCTAGTGGACCCTCACTGTATTCTGAATAAGGAACAAGTTCAGAGGCAAACAGCAGCTATACAGATCTGACCCCAGGAGCAGAGTGGGGACTTAGCTTTAGCCTCCAGTCCAAGGTGGAAGCCTGCAATGGAATAACCAGGGCAAGAGCCCCAGCCCAAAGGGGAGTCTGCAGTCCAGTCACTGAACATGCAGAACCTCCCAGGGTGCCAACAATGGCTGAGTCCAGCAGAAGTCAACTGAAACTCTCAACCACGGATAATCCAACAGACCCAAACTTGGCTCAGGAACTTGTAGAGTTCAGACCAGAGGGCAGTGAGGAGATGTTGCTCTGGATCACATCACTTTGGGCATGTTGAAAGCTTGTGGGCCCCAAACCTGAGCTGTGAAAGCTACAGAAGGACATAAAAAGACAGAAACTTAGGTCACACAGATCCCAGGAGTGTAGAGCCTAACATTAGCTTAAGGTCCAAAGTCAAGAAGTCAGCTGAAAGAATGAGCAAACAAAAAATACTGATGAAAGCCATCCCATGGAGCACACTCAGAGTTGTTCTTGCTAGTTCTGGTCAACCACATGGGAGCTTCGGGGCCGGCTTCCAGTCACTTGTGACTCATTGATGAGGAAGCTGATGATGAAGAGTCTCCTTTTTAGCTGTGGAATTGTAAGAGCTGATGACTCAGTGGATGTTTGAAAAGGATAAAGAAAATCTACCGTAAGCTCTCTCTTCCTTTCCAGCTGGAAATAGTGTCAAGATTATTTCAAGAAGCTTTCCAAGAATCGGGGTGGGGGGTGGGGGGCTTGCCCCACCCCAACCCCAGCCTCCATTCAGTGTGAGCACATGGGAGCATGGGAGATAAAGTACAAGTCTTGCCTAGGCAAGCCTGAGCCTGGGTTTGGTTGTGCTCTTTTGTGTTCTTTCCTGGCCTTAGAGAAATGAGTGTCTCTCCTGAGATGCACTATGTTTGGAGACAACCCCATGAGTCTCAGAGTGTCAAGTGGTTCTGCAATGACTGTAACTGAAGGGTAGCAGGAAAACATCCACACCTGAGAGCATTACCACCACCTCCAACAAGAGGAATGGGCCAAGCCCAGTTGTTTTTACCAATAGATGTGACCTAGGAGTTGTTTAGTCAGAGCAAAAATGAAATATAAAATGCCCTATAAACAATCCCACAAACTGCTTTACAATCTGATAAGATTTAAGTGGAAGCTTTCTTATCAGATTGGGCAGCTAGGTGGTGCAGTGGATAGAATGCCAGACCCTGGAGTCAGGAAGACCTGAGTTTGAATCCAGCCTCAGATACTTACTAGTTGTGTGACCTTGGGCAAGTCACTTAACCCTATTTGCCTCAGTTTTTCATCTATGATATAAGGATAATAATATCACCTACCCTTCAGGGCTGTTGTGAGGCTCAAATGAGATAATATTTGGAGAGTGTTTAGCACAATGCCTGGCACATAATAAATGCTATATAAATGTTAGCTATTGTTATTATTGAGTTAGACTCAAGATTTCATTCTAGCGGCAACTGGGGATGCAGAAGACAGAGCACTGGACTCTAGAGTCAGGAAAACCTGGGTTAAAATCAAGCTGAAGTTAACTTCCTATCTGTGTGACCCTGAGAAAGTCACTTAATTTCTGTTTGCCTCAGTTTCCTCATCTATAAAATGGGAAGAATAATAGTACCTATCTCCTAGGTTTTTTGTGGGGATCAAATGAGATAATATTTATAAAGTGGTTAGCCCAGTGCCAGGCATATAGTAAATACTATATAAATACTTATGCCTTTCCTTTCTATTCCAGATTGAAAGCATAGAGGCAATCATTTTACAAGTCATGTCAGGGGGGAAAAGGCATAATAAGATAGTGGAAAGTTTGCTAGATTTAGTATCAGGTGTGGAGGGTTCCCATCTATGCTCTGCCATGTCCTACCTGCATAAACTTGTCACATAAAGGGCAACTCATGGATTCTCTCTGAGCCTCATTTTCTTAATCTGTAAAATGAGGGGACCCCTGAGGTCTCTTCCAACTTATTCAATCATCTGACTAAAAGAACTTTTAAAAGATGATGTTGGGGCAGCTAGGTAGAATAGCGGATAAAGTACTAACAGGAGGACCTGAATTGAAATCTGATCCCCGACACTTATTAGCTGTAAGTATTGCCTCAAAAAAATGATAATGAGCAATGTGTGGTGAGTAGAAAGATTTCTGGCCCTAGAGTCAGAAGACACAAGTTCCCACCCTACTTCTGATGCTTACTACATGTACAACCTTATTAGGCATAGGTCATTTATCCTCCTGGAAACAAGATGGCCCTCTGAAGTCAAGCTCATCACCTCTAGTCTTACTGTCGTGCTGGTCAATTAATCCTTGACTGACATCCCTTCCCTCAGCCTACTTTCCCCTATGATTGGAGGGCTGGAGCATGGAGTACCAAACTCCTCCCAATGCCTTGCTTTGTAGAGGGAAGAATCTAGACTTTCCGCACCCACTCCACTCTGCATCTGCTGCTCTGCCTGGTTTCACTCCACAGAACAAGATGCCCCAACTTTCCTGCCTCCTTTTGGGTCTTGTCTCTCCCCATTAGATTGTAAGCTTCTTGAGGGCAGACATTATCTATTCCCAATTCTTAGCACAGTGCCTGGCACATGTTGTTGTTGATCAGTCATTTCATCTGTGTTCAATTCTTTGTGACCCCATTTGGGGTTTTTTTGTCAAAGACACTGGAGTAGTTCTCCATTGCCTCTTCCAGCTAATTTTATAGATGAGGAAACTGAGACAAAGAGGTTTAAATGACCTTCATAGGTCACACAACTAGTTAGTGTCTGAGATGTGATTTGAACTCAGGACTTCCTTACTCCAGGCCCAGGGCCCTATCCACTGCACCACTAACTGCCTGGCACATAGTAGGCACTTAATAAATGTTTATTGAATTGGATTGGGCTAGATGGCCTCTGAGTTCCTTTCTAGTTCTACATCTATGATCCAATTATACCTTCCAAAAAAAGGTGAGCATTGATAACTATTAACCCATATATCTATTTTCCCCACCTTTTGAAAAGCTTTATGAAAATGATCTACTTATCTGTAGGAGCTATTGTCTATGATAATATAAGAAGAGAGCAAGCAGGCTTTCACCAATGATTCTTCTCTGTAACAGACCACGTCTTTGCATTCTCACAACTGACTAAAAGGTGTATAGAATACAAGATCCCAACTGTTCACTGGTTTTAAAATGTCTTGATTCCATAAAGCAAAAAGCAGCTTTGAGGCACTCTCCCAACAAGTAATCTCTCATATATATGTTAAAACTGTACAAGACTCTTTGATAAATACAACCAATCAGCAACTATTTATTATTGTTCATGGTGAGTCATTTCAGTCATTTCAGTAAGTCTCTCTGTGAACCCATTTTGGAGTTTTCTTGGCAATGATACTGGAGTGGTTTGCCATTTCCTTCTCCAGCTCATTTTACAGATAAAGAACAGAGGCAAATAGGGGTTAAGTGACTTGCCCAAGGTCATGCAACTAGTAAATGTCTGAGGGCAGATTTGAACTCAGGTTCTCCTGACTCCACTGCTGGCACTCTATCCACTAGCTCCTCATTGGTATTTGACCATTTAACACCCATCTACCATGCTCTAGGCCCTCTGCTATGCTTGGTGCTAGGAATTCAAAGAGAAAAATGAAAATGTCCCTGTCCTCAAGCATTCTTGTAGGTGATATACAACCATAGTGATAATGCTGTTCAAAGACTCTCTGGTTATTAAAATAAAATGGGTCATAAAGCAGAAAGACGTATTCTCACCAAACATTTTCCACTTACACAAGGACATTGTACTGTATTTTTGTACACAAAGATATTAGGGAGTGGAGCAGGGTTGTGTGCTTGCTCCCATGCTTTTTAGTATGATGTTTTCTGCAGTGTTGTCAGACACCTTCAATGAGGACGAACTTAAGGTCAGCTACTGCACTGATGGTAAATTATTTAACTTGAAAAGGCTACAAGCCAAGACAAAAGTGGAGGAAAAGTTGGTGTGTGACTTTTTGAACACAGATGCACTCAATGCAACTTCTGAAGCTGAGATGCAACAAAGTATGAATTGATTCTCTGCTGCTTGTGCTAACTTTGGCCTAACAATTAACACCAAGGAAACACAGATTCTCCACCAACCAGCTCCACACCATCCATATGTGGAACCATCAGTTACAGCAACTGAAGAAATTTTTAATACTGTGGATAAATTCACTTACCTTGGCAATATACTTTCCAGGGATATACACATAGATGGTGAGGTTGACGCACATATTACCAGAGCTAGCTCAGTGTTTGGGAGGCCCTGAAGGAAAGGGTGGGAAACAAGAGAAATTAGGCTGCCTACTAAACTGAAGATCTACAGAGCTATTGTGCTGACCTCGTTGTTGTTTGCCTATGAAACTGGAAGAGTATACATGCTAGGATTGCTTCCAATTGAATTGTCTTAGGAAGATTCTGAAGATCACCTGGCAAGACAATGTACCAAGAAAGGACTTTAAGCTAAACTACTAAGCATTCAAACTCTACTGCAGAGAGAGCAACTCTGATGAGCTGACCATGTTGTTCAAATACTAAACATACATTTACCTAAAAGATTATTTTATGGAGAACTCATGCAAGGAAAGTGCTCATATCGTGGTCATAAGAAGTCATACAAGGATACTCTCAAGGTCTCTCTGAAGAACTTTGGAATTGATTGTGAGACATAAGAGACACTGGCACAGGACCACCCACAGGGTGTGCCGCCCTCAAAGAAGGTGCTGTGCTCTAGGAGTAAAGCAGAATTGCAGTAGCACAAAAGAAACATGAAATACACATATTTAGAGATATCTTTCCTCCAAATGTTCATGTGGACTATCTGTGCCCAACTTGTGGTAGAGCCTTCAGAGCTTGTATTAGTCTAACCAGCCACAGTCGGACATGCTACACTTTGACTTCAACATAGTCTGTCATTTTGGTTCTCTTCGAGAACAAAGGACAACAACCAACCAACCACTGACTCATACCCAAAAGAGATC